AAACATCTATTGCATCATTCCGATGCTCAGGTTATTAACATGCCTGGCTTGCTCCCTTACCTAAGCCCTGCACCTAAAGATGCTGGTAGGAGTCTCCAGCTGCTATAAAGAAGGATGCCTTTGCGGTGGCCTTTCTCCAGGTTGACTTTGCACAGCCTGCCCCCACTTTACTGAGCCCCCTGCAAGCTGAAGTTTACAGCAGTTAGAGCAGTTCGGACACATTTCTGTATTCCTAAAACCTTGTCCTAGACTGATCATCCAGGACACAAGGACAGGTGAGCACTATTGCCAGCCTTGGGTTATCTGTACCAAAAGGCACAGAGTTGCAAAAGCAATTAAAAAAAAAAATTCTTTAGGTGTTGATGGATCTTTATTTAATTCATTTATTTATAGGCTGTGCTGAGAATCGAACCCAGTGCCTCACACATGCTAGGCAAGCGCCCTACTACCGAGCTACAACTCCAGCCCCCAAAAGCAAGTCTTGACTGTGGTGATCTAGCCTGTATTTAAAGTTTGAATATGGTGTCAGAGTGAGAGCTGAGGCTGGTCTTGAGGCCAGGGACCCCAGACTACATGGTTGTCCAGCTATTCGACTCAGTTGGTCCCATAAAAGCATGAAATCAGGAGACAGAAATCTGTATTGAATCTCCTGCCTACTCACACCAGATTTCCAAACACCTTATAGATACTGATGCCCAAGAGCTGCCTCAGACCTCACATTGCAAAACAGACACAATGCCTCACATGGGAAGCTCTACCTGGAAGGCCGCCACTGTTTCTTCATCTCCCACAAAGTAACATTCATGTCTTCCTTTATTCATCCTTCTTCCTCATTCTCTGTTTCCAACTGGTTTTTAAATCCTGTAGTCTCTACCTACTAGCTATACACATTTAAAAATTATGTTAAAATAACATAAAATTTACCATGGTCAACATGTTTAAGTGCACAATTCAGTAGCATCAGTGCAACCACCACTATCCATTTCCAGAAATTTTTCATCATTCCAAACAGAAATTTTATACCCATAATATCCTCCTTTTCCTCCCACCATGGGTGACTTTTCTTCTGCTTTCTGTCTCTATGAATTTACCAATTCTAGGTACTTCAGAGAAGTGGAATTATGTAATATTGTCCTTCTGTATTGGCTTATTTCACTTAGCATGTTTTTGGAGTTCCTTCTTGTAGCAAATGTCAGAATTTCATTTCTGAAAAATATTCCATTGTTTGTACCACTTTTTAATTGTCCAGTCATCTGTTGATGGACCCTTGAGTTGTTTCCATCTGTCTTAGCTTGGACTACTATGCAAAATACCATAGTCTAGAGTACTTAAAACAACTCCCATTTATTTCTCTCAGCTCTGGAAATGGAAAGTCATAGACCAAGTTGCTGGCAGATTTAGATGACGAATTTAGGTGAGGAATTTCTTCTAGGCTTGTGGAAGGTTGGCTGCCTTCTGACTGTATTCTCACATGGAGGGGAGACAAAGGAAGTCTCTTTCCCTTCCCCTAAGTTGTAAGGCTACAACTTTAAGGCCCACGTAAACCTACTTACTTCCCCAAATTCCACTTCCTAATCCCATTACATTAGGATTTAGAGCTTCAACATTCAGCCCATAATACCAATTTTTGGCCTAGTTATCTGTGTTAAAATAGTATATTTTCCCTGAGTTTATAAGTAGTGGGTATTAGTAATTCAAACCACAAAGTAATTTATAAGTAATTTACTTATACAATGAATAAGTAAATAAATATAAGCCAGGTGCAGTGGCTCATGCTTGTTGCCTCCAGATACTTGGGGGGCTGAGGCAGGAGGATTGCTTAAGACCAAGAGTTGGAAACCAGCCTGGGCAGCATAGTGAGACTGCCTCAGCATAACAACAACAAAGGGAATATAAAATTCACTGCGATATTGCAAATATGTTAATTGTTGATATTTATTTATAGTTTTATTTATACAGAGATGGATGCATGTGGGGAACAGGTGTTGTTTGTCAGAATCATTATGTAATCTTGTACTTATTGTATTTGGTACTTGGGATGAAGAGGTACTTTACCACTGAGCTACATACCCAGCCATTTTAAGACAGGATCTTATCAAGTTGCCAAAGCTGGTCTTGAACTTGCAATCCTTCTGTGCCAAGCCTCCTGATTTTCTGGGATGCAGGTGTGTGCCAGTGCGCCTTGCTGTGTCTGTCTATCTGTTTTTAAAAGATGGAGTCTCACTATGCTGCCCAGGCTGGCCCCAAACTCCTGGGCTCAAGGGATCCTCCTGCCTCAGCTTCCCAAGTAGCTGGGGCTACAAGCATGTGTCACTTGTTTCCAGCCCTACACTGAACATTTTTATAAGCATCTTCTCCTCAAAAATTCCTTGTAAGTAATAGTTGTGATTGTCTTAAAAAATTCCATTACAAACATATGAAAATTCATTTTCTTATTGTTGGATTTAGATTGTCTCTAGTTTTTTGCTAATTCAAAACAATACTGGAAATAACTTCTATTTACATTTTTTGGGTCTACATTCCATATCTTCTTAGCATGGATTTCTAGAAATTAATTTACTGGACCAAAATATATGAATGTTGAAAGCCAGGTGTGATGACATGCCCTGTAGTCCTAGCTGCTTAAGAGACTTCAGCGGGAGGATTGCTTGAACCCAGAAGTTTAACACCAACCAAAATAAGATAGCGAGACCCCTTCTCAAAATCAAAAAAGGAATATTTTAAAGATTGATACATACTGCCTTTCAGAAAGCCATGTTAATTTACAATACTGGCTAGATATGGAGTCCATCTGTGCTTCTAATGCGAACCTTAGTGGTCTCTATCTCTGGAATGTACACCTTGTGTCAACCCCTCTCACACTGTCTAGGGTTGGTCTATGTGAACAACAGCATATGGCAGAAGCAACACAATGTCACTTCCAAATAAGATTATAAAAAGACAGTGGCTTCTGTCTTGGATTCACTTGCACACTCTCTGGTAGAGATTTGCTCTGGGGCTGTGCTGTGAACAAAGCTGTGGAGAGGACCCCAGATGAGGAACCAAAACCTCCTGCCAACAGCCATGAGTGAACTTGTCCTCTTGTTTTGATGTATGGGTTTATTTTTTTGGAAAATATACCTTTTTATTTATTTATTTTTATGGGTGCTGAGGATCGAACCCAAGATAGGCAAGTGCTCTATCACTGAGCTACAATCCCAGCTCTGTTTTTTTTTTTTTAATTAATTAATTTATTTATTTTTTGGGTGTAGATGGACACAACACAATGCCTTTATTTTTATGTGGTGCTGAGGATCGAACCTGGGTCCCACCTGTGCTGGGTGAGCACTCTACCACTGAGCCACAATCCCAGCCCTGGTTTTAATTTTTTATATAATTTTTGTATGATCCAATCAATATTTCACTTGAGACCTCCTTGTCTTAATTTTTAAAAACTTATCCAAGAAATATACATACACAGAGCTTTTTAAAAAGGCCAAATATTTCTAAGCAGTTATAAGGAACACCAGCAGTTCCTGACCTATTTTTTATTTAGAGGCAGTATCTTGCTAAATTGCTTAGGGCCTGGATAAATTGCTGAGATTGACTTTTAATTTGCAATCCTCTGGTCTCAGGCTCCAAGCCTCTGGGATTATAGGCATGCACCGCCATATCTGGCTCTTCCATCTTTTATAAAAGTAGTTTCTTGATATAGAATTGCTATCACACAGTTCTAAATTCTATTTTTTTTCTCTACTGTATATTTTAACCCTACCACTGACAATTTTCATTTTGGATGGTTGCATAATGTTCAGTTACACAAATATTACAATTTCTATAAGCATTACCCTCTTGTTGGTCATTCAGGTTCCCTCTTGCAATAACCTATTGCCTTATATTTCTTGGGTGTAGGAGGTATAATCTCCTACAAAGGGTATGGTTTACATATCTGGTGTGGAGTAAGAAGCAGTTCTTGAAACATGCCCAGGGCAGCCAAATGAAATATACAAAGATAAGTAAATAAAACACACATCCCCCTACCCTCCGGGGAACACTGGGTAGGAGTGGACGAGAAGGAGAAGCTTAAATGCAACCACAGAACAGCACAGATTGATATCAAGGAGACAGAATTTAAGGGCACTGGGCTGGGGCACTTGCCTAGCATATGTAAGGCCCTGGGTTCCATTCCTTGCTTCACAAAACAAAAATATATAAGCAAGCAAAACATAAGGGCCTTAAAAAGGTCTTTGGGGGCTGGGGCTGCGGCTGGGGCTGAGTGGTAGAGCGCTCACCTGGCACACCTGAGGCACTGGGTTCGATCCTTAGCACTACATAAAAATAAAGGTATTATGCCATCTACAACTAAAAAAATACATTAAAAAAAAAAAAGGTCTTTGGTAGGAAGAAATGGTTATGAAAAAGGGCTCAGTGACGGGAAAACAAAGAGGGTGTACAGGGTAAGAAGAAGACAGCAGGTTAAGAATACCGACCAGAGCCTTAAATCATAGGAGAAACCATGGGAGCCCTGGTATTAGTTAAAGGAGAAAGTGAAAACTGAAGCTTTATGTAAAAGATACAAGCTATCTATCAAATTTAGAAACAAATAGCCCAAATATATACTTTTTGTTTGTTTTGTTTTTAGGTATTAGAGAGTGTACATGTTAGAATTCTACCACTAAGCTACATCCCCACTCCTTTTTAAACTGTATTATTTTGAGATAGGGTCTCACTAAGTTGCCCAGGCTTGCCTCAAACTTGTGATCCTCCTACCTCAGCCTCCAAGTAGCTGGTACTATGGGTGTGTGCCACCCTGCTCGAATATACTAGTTTAAAAATAAAGTCCTCCTTTTAATAAATATCTTAATTAAATACTCATTTTATCAATTGGCTATTCTAGGATTTTCCTAAAATCTGTTACTTACTGATGATGAATCTACTCCAAATTCAGTACAACTCAGAAGTTTCTATTTAATACCATCTTTGGATAGAAAGTCTTACATCGTTTAAATAAAATAAGTAAATACATGGTGAAAAATACATTTTAATCCAAAAGTTTTGACTATCAGCATTTAGAAAACTATTTTCAATGTTATTTACAATCAATTTTACTGTAACTTTTGCGAACTGAGAGATGACCATATACATACAGCCATCTACAGTGCCTGTTCTCAACATAAAACAGTAATTGTATAGAAAAAGGGTAAGGGTGAGAGGTGCCAGTTACAATCATTATAATCAAATCAGGGTAGAGGAGATAAGCACTCCCCCCCAACACCCCCAACATTTGTCACTCCCTTACTTAACTGATTTGCACTTGAAGCATACACAGCAGACCTTCCAAAGCATGCTATTAGGAGTCCATGGCAGATGGCTTAAGCTGGGGTAGACATTTAATGGCCTACCAATCACTTTTATGACTGCCCAAGCAGCACAGGTTTTCTGGGTGCTCTAGTGAAGGTGACATCTGCACTGCAGTCTATGGTTTGACCTTAAGTCTCTGTTTGACAGAGAAGGTAGATGAGACAGTGAAGAGCAGCTCTATTGAGAACAACTGAATGGTTTCAAAAAACCATTTGCTACAAAAAAATCACATAAAAGTTTAAAAAAAGTCTGGGCTAATAAAATCATCTAGGAATCACTCCTTACAATTAATGCTGTCTGAAGTCTGTCACAGCATTTTCTTGATGAGGAAATACATTTTGTGTGGCTTTATGACACATACAATTGATGGATCACAGATACATTTGATTTAAGCTCTTGATCAGAAACCTAAAACTTAACTACTACTTATATAAAAATAGAATTCATTTTATGAGCTACTAACAATAAATTATGAAGAAAAATAGTCATACCTGTTACTAATGGTCTCCCAGGAAACTGTGTAGCCTTTGCCTGGGAGGATATACATACAAAATGTAATATTTACCTTCAAATATATTTCATTATTTTCTATCCCTTGTAATTTTCTAAGTAATAGGTAATAAACAAGCTAATGATTACTGGGTATTTAGGGGAAAAAACTTTGTCATTTTTCCATGTAAAAATTTCATGAAAGGAACACATGTATATCTCATAGTAGTATGATAGATGAAAACTGGAAATCCAGTTTTAATTTTTTTTTTTTTTTTGAATGCTGGGAATCAAACCCAGGGCTTCAAACATGCTAAGTAAGTACTCTACCACTGAGCTATATCCTCAGCCCTGGTTTTAATTTTGTAACTACAAATGGTTGGCAACTGTTTCCTTAATAGTTATTGCTGGAGTAGGTCCAACATGAGTCCATATATAGCCCTTCTCTGGTCTGGTGGGGACTGTAGGAAATGGTGATGACCGTGACTTGAAATACTCAGAAGGTGCATGGCAAACAAATTCCAAGTATTCCATCTTCCTTGGAAGATCTTCCTCTGGCCCTAGAAGGCAGCCAATAGAAAGGTTAAATACATTTTTGAACATATCAATCATTTTCATAAAATGTTAATATTTTTAGTTACTAGGAGAAAGCACTCTTGTTTAAAGGACTAACATCAAGTCAAGATGTTGCTCTGAAGTTACTATAACTCCTTAAGCAATAAAGCTTAAGGAATATGGCAGTTTCCCAAAAAAGAGCAACTCAACTGAGAAAGGATTCTAAAAATAATACCAAACACTTACATAAAGTTTGTTACATGACTGCACTGTTCTAAGTACTTTACATATATCAGCACTTTGAATCCTCACAAAAAGCTTCTGTCGTGGGCACTATTATCCTCGTTTTGCACATGAGGAAAGTGAAGCAAAGAGAGATTAAAGAATTTGCTAAACTCAGACAGGTGGTAAATGGCAGGGATGTGGAACTCCTGTGGCTCCAGATTTTGTGTTTTAACCTCCAAGATGTGCCTCCTCGGGGACGAGAAAGTACCTCAGACTTTGGGGATTAGGAAGAAAAGATGGGCGAGGTGCCCTAGATGTGTTTCTGACAATCATGGCCTCTTCTGGGAAGCTGTCCCATAAATAAGGTAAGTGAAAGTCTGGTGTTCTAAGGTACTCATAAGCAGAAGACTAGAACTCTTTGGTCATGTAATAAAATTGACATATAGGTGAAAATAACTGGGCTATTGTCCTGGGAGGTCTCAATGAAAAAAAAATGCATAGATTTTTCAGGAAGCAAAAGTAATGTATGCTCATTATAAGAATGAAAATTTCAGGATAACTTAAGAAATTTGGATACTTTGGGGCTGGGATTGTAGCTCAGCGGTAGTGTGCTCGCCTAGCATGTGCAAGGCCCTGGGTTCGATTCTCAGCACCACATCAAAATAAGGGTATCGTGTCCAACTACAACTAAAAAATAAATATTTTTTAAAAAAGAAATTTGAAAATTTTCAATATCATATTAATCATAAACTTGTAAATATATGCCAAAAACTGTTTGCATCACATCTTTTAACCATTAATGATAAAAGGCTTAGGAATGCCATGTGGTATGTACAGGGCTGCATATTGAGAATTTATTAAGACTTTAGAAATAACTAGGATAGTTCTCTTAGAAATTGTTTTCAAATTGATTTTTATAAGTAATCTAAATAATATAATTCCTGAGCAATACTTTTTGAGGGAAGGGGTACAAAATTCAGGGGCATTCGACTACTGAGCCACATCCCCAGCCCTATTTTTATTTTGAGACAGGGTCTTACTGAGTTGCTTAGTGCCTCGCATTTGCTGAGGCTGGCTTTGAACTCATGATCCTCCTGTCTCAGCCTCCCAAGCCACTGGGATTATAGGTGTGAGCCACTGCACCCGACAGCAAAATTTTTTTATATGATTTAATTCTGGAACACTCAGAAAAAATCTTATCCACATCATTTTTTTAGTAGGTGCACACTGCTGTAACCCAAAGTAACTAAAGGCACTCAAACCCCAGCTATATAAACTATCTTTCATATTTCCTACAAAGATCTCCACTTTTTTGTGCTTAATGGCCTATGCCTTTTTTTTTTTTTTTATGGGATTTGTTTTCCCAGCCTCTTAATTCATATGATGAGGGCCTAATCCTCCAAGTAGTAGTATTGGAGATGGGACCTTTAGGCAGGTAACCGAGGTTAAACAAAGCCACAAGGACCTTTATGGATAAGATGATAGGATTGATGTCCTTATCAAGGGACATCAGAGAGCTTTCTTTCTACATACACAGAGAGAAGGAAGGTTGTGTAAAGACAAGAAGAAAGTGGTCATCTGCAAGACAAGAAAGCCTCATTACACAACAATCCTGACAGCACCCTAATCTCAGACTTCCAGTCTCCAGAACTGTGAGACAATACAGTCTGTTGTTCAACCAATGGAGCCTTGGTATTTTGTCATGGCAGACCAAGCAGACTAACACATTCTTTTATATAACATGGCAGAGTTAACCGAGTTCCAGAACCTGTGCCATTTGTCAAACTCACCTATGATATAGGATGCAGGATCAAACTGGTCTCTAGGGCTGGAGAGAGTGGGAATGAGCCATGTCAGGGCTGCACTCTTTTCACAATATTGGTCCTGGATAAAACCCCTGATCTGAGCATAGTAAGGCTTTCCATCTTGTTCATCAATCACAGAAACAACATCACCAATTTGGTAATACACTCCCTGAGGGAAATAAAAAAAAAAAATCCCATATTTAAAATAAAACTGGAACATCACAGCTATGAATGAAACTTCTTTAATAAGAAAGCAGGTTTTGAAAGTAGTCAATAAAAGGTCTAACAAATCCATGTTTATGATGATACCAATTCTAAACCTGTCTACATATTATATAATCATTATTCTCAAATTATCATGATTACATTTGTTTATTATAGGCACACAAATAAATATATGATGAATGAAAATTGATCCAAAATATGTAACAGTTGGAATGTAAAACTGCAATGTAAAGATAATACCTTAGTGAGAGATTTTGATAGCAAGCATTGCCAGGCACATAGTAGGTGTTTATTAATATGTTTTGTGTATAGCAGACTCTCCTTATCTGTGGGACATACATTCTAAGAACCCTAGTACATGCCTGAAACCTTAGGCCTGTGACCCTAACCTTCTCGTTTTATCAAATGCCTTGGACCCTCTCCCAAGAACTTGTAGTGTCTGTTAATCTCCACCACTGCACTTATTTCTCCCTCCTCTGCTTAAGGCATTTCAGAATCCATTGGCCTGCTCTACCCATTAGATATTATGGTCCACATCCTCCATCAACCCACACCCAGACTCTCTCCTTCTTACCCTTCCACGCCATCACACTGGCTAGGATGACTTACCTATCCTTACCTTTTCCTGGCTCCACACTATAATTAGCATTTTAAGGACAATTCAATGATATATATTTAAAAAATATACTTAAGACCCTTATATCATATTTCCACAGGTAACCTTTCTCACCTCAACTCTGGATAAACCACCAATGGGGGAAAACAGTTTAGAATGGAACAAAAGCATAACTACATTTTATGCAAATACAGAATAGCAGAAACACTGAGGTTAAATCACCATTTTTTTTTTTTTTTTTTTGTACCAGGGATTGAACCCAGGGGCACTTTAACTACTGAGCCACATCCCCAGCCTTATTTATTTTTTATTTTGAGAGAAGGTCTCATTAAGTTGCTTAGAGCCTTGCTAAGTTGCTGAGGCTAACCTCGAATTTGTGATCCTCCTGCCTTAGCCTCCCAAGCCACTGGGATTACAAGCATGCAACACTGTGCCCAGCAAAACACCATTTTAGTAGCATATTTTACATCTGGTCCAATTCTTTCAGGAACTCCACAGAAGCTTACCTTGTGGAAGATTGATTCTGCAGTGATTATGGTAGAAACAGACTCAGGAGCTTTGATAGGCTATGAGAAAAAGTAAAAACATTAGCATATCCATGTATGTCTGCATGTATGTGTATACAGGCATTTTTACAGTCATATATAAAAGATTCATTTCAGAAATTCTAAAATTTATTGTCCAGTAACAAAAACAGTAATATAAAAGATAAGTGAATGTTCTGAATGTTGTGGCAAAGTCCAGTCTGAGTATTTCCACTATTTCTCTTACCATTAGCTTAAAAGTTACTCAGAAACAAAGGCAAGCTTCTGATTATGCTGCTGAGATCTAACACAAAGTACTCTCAGAGACACATTAGACATTAACATCTCAATTATAAAAATATACTGGGTCTAAAAGCCTGCACATAACAGAATGGAAGCCATGAAAAATAAGCAAGTGGACATAAGTGAAAAAGTGTCTCTTTGAAGTCATTTTTCATCTCAGTGATGGAATTTGCCAGGATAATCAACATCATCAATTTTGTAGCAAGTCTGAACTAAGGCTTTAGAAAATTTCTTGGGAGTTCTTAATAACTTGTCACCTTCCAACCATCACTGAAAACTCTTAAGTTGTAAAACACTCTTCAATGCCACAGCATAGAAATTAGGCCTAACCCATGTATCTCTGTACGAACATTGAAGAAAGGAGGTGCAGAAAAATTGATAATATAATCATCAGAGAGAATGGTTTGCAGAACTTAAGAGGAAAAAAAATGCCTACAATACAAACACTGTAAATGAATACTGACTTAACATGTTTTATCAACAAATCCCTTTTTAAGAAAACTAAATTATAAAAACCTTAAATTAGCAGCAATTATTCTCATTAAGAATCTGCAACCTACATAAGAACCTATCCCCAAGCCCCTCTGTTTTATAAATCAACACGCCCAACATCAGAAATGCTTTTACCAGTAAAAGAAGCATTTCTGTCCTAAAAGGAATACCACACTGAGGCTTAAAAAAAAAAAAAAATCATCTACCTGGATAGGATGACACATGACTATAATCCCATCTACGTTGGAAGCTGAGGCAAAAGGATGGCAAATTAGAGACAGCCTCAGAACTTAGTGAGACCCTGCCTTGAATAGAATAAAAAGGGCTGGGGTACAGCTCACTGATAGAGGGTTCCTGGGTTTAATCCCCTGCATTACAAAATAAATAATTTTAAATTGTCTATAATGTATTGCCCATTGTCCCAGGTTCACAAAAATAAAACTTACTGCAACAAAAAATGTGCTTTCAACTATATCCAGTATAGGTTTTCAACATCTCTTGAATTTCATATAGCAGAAGAGGAGATAAAGGATTAGAGAAAAATTTTATTCAAAGCCATTAAATTCATCATCACAAGGCACATTTTCTGGGGCTTTAATAACAACTGTATATGGAAATGATTAAATTCCAGTATTATTATTTACTTAAATCTTTAAAGGATTTTTAAAAAAGTATTCCTAGTGTACCTGGCCATATCAAGAATCATAATCTCTTCAATGCCTCTCCACAGAGACCCTGATAAAAATATTTAATATTTTCCAGAGGAAAGAAATGAAAGTTATAAAAGCGAGAGTGTTATTAACATTATAAACAGCAAGCTTCCTGAAACATAGCTTATTTTGGGGTGAGTCTGGTTCACTCCCCAGAATACTACAAATGGGTTCCCAAAAGCAGCAGCCACATTCAATACTGAAAACCAAAGCAGTAGCAGGACACAGTACACACATCATCATCATAACAGTAAAAACACTGTCCACATCATCTTACATTTTTTAATTTAAAAATATGTCTTCTCCCTTTTCCTTTAGTAGAAACTTTCTTTTCAGCAGCTGGAGCAGATTTGTATTTAGTGTTTCTGAGCCGCGCAGACCTCCTGTGAATTTCCTGCTTACTCTGTTACATAAACAAATAGAGAAAAAGAGAATAAAAAATATAGAAAGGTTGACGCCCTGATACAATCATCTTACGAAGATCCCAAAGTACACACTTTGTAAGGATAAAAAGATCAAGGGCGAGGGCAGGAAAGCAAGCCAGAGCCTCCAAAAAGGTGGGCTGCTCACAACAGGGCAGGTGACAGGAGTAGGTCGTCTACGTCAAGGCAGGTTTTTAGAGAAGAGGTTAGGTTGAGGCACCTCCTACAGTGGAATGGTTGTGCTGCCACTTACAATGACAGAGTCTTACTTAACCACAGGATGTAATATTTGCGGGGAAGAGGTACAGGGCGCCCGGGGCTGCCAGGAGGGGCAGGTGAGCTCACCTGCTTGCCGCCCCCGCCCCCGTTGCTCTGCGGGGGCGCGGCCGAGGTGCTGGCGAAGGTCGCCGTCCCGAAGCTCCCGCCACCGCTGCCCCCAGTTCCGCCGGCCGCCCCCGAGCCGGCGCCCCCGCCGCCCGCGCCGCCCCGGCCCGTGCAGTGGTGGCAGAGGATCTCCCCCTGCGGGCCCTTCTTCCACATGGAGGACGACGTGGTCTTGCAGCCGCTGCAGGTGGGCTTCAGGCCCAGCGGCATGGTGGCCGGCTCGGGCGGCCCCCGCGGGCGCAGCGACACAGGAATGGCGGCCGCCTTTCTTGGCCGCCCACTGGTCGGCCCGCCACCCCGGCGACACGAAGAACGGCGACGGCAGGGATGCAGAGCTGTCGACACAAGGGCCTGGCCTCGGCCGCTGCCCCCCGCAGGCTCGGGGCAGGCTCCGCCCGCCCGCGCCCACCACCGGCCCTGGGCAGTGCACAGCGCCGCGGGGCGGGGCCTGGCCTGCGAGCGGCCCGCGGAGGCTTCCGGAGATGGGGCGCAGGGTAGAGAGCTTCAGAGCACCACTTCCACCTCACCGGAAGTGCCGCGCCGGAATTACTTGGCGCTCTCTGCAGTTCAACTTGCTGTAGCCTGGTGGAGCAGTTCTCAAACTTTTTGGTCTACTTGCCGGGTGAAATGCAGGATTCCCAATTAAATCTAAATGACGGATGAAGGAGTAATATTTTTAGGCTGAATGCATCCCTTGCAAAAATCGTCTATCTGAGATTAAAATTTAACCGAGTATCCTGTATTTTTATTTGCTAAATCTGGCAATCCTATTCAGGTCCCCTTTTAGACTCTTAAAAATTACAGTTTCGGGCTGGGGCTGTAGCTCAGTGGTGAAGCGCTTGCCTAGCCTGTGTGAGGCAGTGGATTCGATTCTCCGCACCACATTATAAATTTTTAAAAAAAGGTCCACTGATAACTAAAAAATATATTAAAAAAAGAAAAAAAATTTACAGTTTGGCACCCCACCCCCCCAATATGTTGGTTTATGTGGGTTATGTTCATAAATATTTATGTGGTGGGAGTTAAAATTGAGACATTTTGGGCTGGGGTTGTAACTCAGTGGTAGAGCACTTGTCTAGCACGTGTGAGGCACCATATATAAATAAATAAAGGTCCATTGACAACTAAAAAATATATCTAAAAAATAAAAAAAAAAAAGAATTTAGACATTTTAAAGTCTAGGATAGAGAGCACACGTTCATTAGCCTTTGGGCAATGATGCCATCGTCAGCCTCTAAACAGAACACCCATGAGAAAATGGGACTTGAAAAGACAAATAGCTGGCTTAGCATTGTGGGGAAAGAGTTTTGACTGTGAGGGTATCCTGAAAGGGTCCTGAGACCCAGCAGTCCCACGACAGGCACTCGAGAACAAACAGCTGGCTAGGCGGAGTGGCTAGGAGAAATCAAACCACCTTGATTATATGTTGCTCATCAGTGCTGGCCTGGCACGAAAAGGGTGTCTTCAGTCTCTCTTGGTGAATTGGTGATTGCATAGCCCTCTTCACAATCCCAGGTTTCCTACCCTTGGCATCCTCGGAGAGATCTTGAGGAATATGTTGGGGGGAGAGGGAAGCATGTATTAAGTGCCCATGACACCAGGAGATCTCATGTAGGTTCATGACAACCTAGGAACAACATATCCCTACTTTACCATGAACGGTGATTGCTATTTGGACGTGGCTGTCATCACAGCCTGGACCCTGGGTACCTTTTCTGGGCAGGGTAGAGAGCTTCAGAGCACCAGAGTTTCCCCAACAAAATAATCTTCCAGAACTGTTACAGGGAGTAAACCAACTGTAAAAGGGGTTGAGGAGAATAGGTAGAGCCGTCTCATTTCAGAGCAATGGTGAAGGGAGGGGTTCAGAGCATATCCTGAAATATGGCCCTTTCAAATTGTAATTCTTTTGAGTTGAGGGCAATGAAGCATCAGCAATGGAGCTTTCTGCTTGAAGCAGGATATGAAACCTGCCTTATGCAAAGTGTCCTCCCTGTGTTAGGAAGAGAAGAATGCCTGGGTTCCTATTACCAGAGAGACCTGATTCCCACATGAATCTGCAAACAAATTACTGAAATTTCTAACACTTAATTTTCTACTAGTGTCCCCTATGTATTTCCTAGTATCTTTCCCACAGTCTACCAGCTGAGCCCAAGCCCTTTAGTCTTTTCTCATTACCACAATTATTCTTTGTTTAAAAGGCCACATAAGTTTCTATCACTTTTTTGGGGGGTGGGGGGTGTTGAGGATCAACCCAGGATCTTGTGCATGCTAGGCAAGCACTTAGCCACTGAGATACATCCTCGGCCCTTCTGTCGTTTTCTTAAAGGCTCCTGTGCATGTAAAAATATAAACTAAAATGTGTATGCTTTTCCCCTGTTAATCTCTCTTTTGTCAATTTAATTCTCAGGCCCAGTCACAGAACCTAAGGAAGTAGAAGGAAGATTTTCCTTCCCTGCAATGTACTCTGTGAGGGACTCTAGACATTAAATCCTATGCTAGTCTATCTCCTCCATCTGACAGTGTATACCACTCTTTGTATGTCAGCTATAAGTTACTTTCTCATTCATTGAAGATCTTGACCCCTGGCTCACCAACTTCCTTTCTGCCATAGGACGCCATCCTGGGCCTGCATCTCAGTTCTTTCTCATCCTGCTCAGGTCATGCCCCATCCTGTCTGCTTTCCAATTCCTGGCTGTACCTTCTATCCTTCTGAGATCATTAGGGAGAAGTATATTTTTTTTCCTTTAATTTTTTTAACAACTTATTCAAACACATACTGTAAAGTACCCAACTCATACTTGTACAGGTTAATTATTACAGAGTAATCACACTCCAGGAACCAAATGGAGAAAGAGACAACTATTGCAAATGAGGCTCTTTCCTTTATTGAGATAATCACTCTGATGCTGTAGATTTTATAAATTTTCTTTATTAGGCAAAGGGATTTTCTTCTGGTCCTGTATTTATCATGCATGTGAGCAGTAGGATGAAGTTAAGGAGATAATTCTCTAAACTGGGCTCACTGTGCTGACCCCCACATGCTTTCTTTTAAAAAGCAATTAAATTGCAGACCTTCCTGGTGATGTTCCTCAGGAAACAACCTATTATCTGCTGGAGAAATATAGACCCTAAATGCTGATAAGAAGATTGCAAGTTATCCTGATGGGGGGGGGGTCTTTTGTAACCCTTACACACACCAGGTTCCAGAACTCAGGGAGGTTAGGATAATTCCCCTAACCATAAAATCTGTGAGAATAAGTTCCAATTAAACAAGTCTGCAAGCTGGCGTGGTAGCACATGCCTGTAATCCCAGCAGCTTGGGAGGCTGAGGCAGGAGTGGAGGATCTCAAGTTCATAGCCAGTCTCAGCAACTTAACAAGGCCCTAAGCAACTCAGTGAGACTCTGTCTCTAAATAAAATATAAAAAAAGGTTTGGGATGTGGCTCAGTGCTTTTGTACCTGGGTTCAATTCCTGGTACCAAAAACACAAACAAAACCCCAGAAAAACCAGTTCAGCATGGGATAAAGTGACCCAGAGCTGCCTTGGACATTTATCATGCACAGATGGGACTTGAAAAAATCTGATGCAATTCTGCTGTCAGTCAAAAGTCAAGAGGTGGACATGGGCAGGACTCTCTGGAAACTTCTCTGAAATACCCCAGTAAAACTGGAGGGCAGTAGAGGAGCATCCTCCTCCTCTGAGAGGACCCACTCTCCCCTTTCCCGTTTTCTATCCTTTCTAATAAACTCGTGCGGCTACTCTGAGCAACATGTCTAAAATCTTTCTGGTGTGATTGAAAGAGCTGGTATCGGAAGACCACCATCGCTGTCTTGACCCCACAGCAGTGGGCACCTGTGCTGTAACACAATTTCATTAAATGGTTTTGAGATGATCATAATGTTTTTTCTTCTTTATTAATGTATGGATTATACAGATTTCTGAATGTTAAATGAACATTGCAAGTTTGTGAATGAAACGTGACTTGTGATATATTATCCTTTTCATATATTTTTGGGTTTAGTTTACTATTTTGAGATTTTTTACATCTATATTCGTGAATGATGTGAGCTTATAATTTCCTTTATTGTAATATCTTTGTCAGGTTTGGGCATCAGTTTAGGTTGTCCATATAAGAACTTCGGACTTTATTTTGAGTGAGACAGGGAACTATTCAAGGTTTGTAAATGTACTGATAAGAAAAAAATCTCAGATATTTAGTGGAGAAAAAGGCATTTTATAAAACAGTGTATATAATCCAATCACTTTGTACAAATTAACAAGTTCTCTGATACATACATTTTTGTCAACAAGGGTGGCCAGGGAGACGATTTTTTTTTCATTTTTTGCCCTTTTGTATTGGTTATGACTTTTTCTTACCACATGCATGCATTACCTTTATTTTTAAAAAATGAAGAAAAAGTATCAAATTTTAAACTTGAAAAATCCTCATGAAAGGCCATGTAGGTACCCTCCTGGAGTGGAAGGGCTTTGTCCTTATGACTTAATCTAAAGGCTCCTCTTTTTAGGACTATCACATTGTTGATTAAATTGAACACATGAATTTGGGGGGAATACATTCAGACCATAGGCACATAGTAAGAGATTCTCAATCTCAATCCAGAGGAAGGGTTCAGCTGGAGCGCATCGACAATTTGGTGTCTATGGAATGTCTGGGGAAATTGAGGTGGTGGTGGTGGTGGTGGTGGTACTAGTGTGTGTAAGGTATGAACACAGAAATGAATGCCTCCCAAGGTCTTAAAAATTCACACTAAGGGGAAAGAATGAAGTAGAGTTCCCCAGGGGCTTGTCAGTGTAAGCATGGACTCTTTTTGCATGATTTGAATGTTGTAAAGTTCATTAATTAAAACTCTCAATATTAAAAAAGAAAAGAGCAGATATACAAAATATATCACAGGACTGGTTTCAAAGAGATAAGCCTTCATCGCATTTTGTTCCTTGATGGGCAGATAGAGGTCTCCTTGACCATACAGCCTCTCCCCATGCACTGCAGGGGCCACTGCCACTCCATCTCCCTTTGATTTACTCACCTGTTAAATGAGGGTAACGAGAACATACTCATAGGGCTGTTGTGAGCATTAAATGTGTTCATCCATGTGAGGCTGAAAACAACTGCTACATCTGATTAGTGTCCACTACGATGCTGGTAAGAAAGGCGGAGGGATGGGCTGGGGATGTGGCTCAGGCGGCAGCACGCTCGACTTGGCATGCGTGCGGCCCGGGTTCGATTCTCAGCACCACATACGAACGGAGATGTTGTGTCCGCCGAAAACTAAAAAATAAATATTAAAAAAAAATCCTCTCTTTAAAAAAAAAAAAAAAAGAAAGGAGGAGGGGGAGGAAATATGTCTTTAGTCCAAACTGTGGCCAAGTCATCAG